GCCAGAGTTTCTACCTTTAACCAAACATTCAGTTATCCCAGACAAATATCCCTGTATACGAACAGCTGACATGACTTAAAGGGGAAAGAGGAGCTGAGAAAGAAGGAAGCTAGCCTAAGAAATGGGGAAAGAGAAGCAACGAGAGAAAAGACAAAATAGTAGAAGACATGGGGAACTGTACTACAGGAGAGATGGTTGTTTCTTTTGCTCAAGTACCGTTTAATGGTATCACGCTGTTTTTGCACTTGAAAAAATGCAGAGTGCAACATGAGTGTCACCTGTCTCTTCATGCCAATGACATTCAGAAAAGACGAAAAGGATTTCATTTTGTTTAGGGCTGTCACTTCAAAAGTGCTTACCACAAACATATTCCTAAACACCCAGTTTCAAGTTCTTTATGAGTTTAAGAAAACGGGTGAAAGTAGAGATGGCTCGTGTCCTGTGAAGGCTCAGATTGCCAGAGCCAAGGTGAACTCACTCTCATTCTTCAAGCGCTTCTGATGCTCGGCAGACACGTGTGACTTTGACAGCAGCAGATGTCACCAGTATTTTCTGACTCTAATAGTCTAATTTAATCATAGCCTGAAGACACTGGATTCTTCCCTCCTCTTTTTGGGATACTGATATATACATTTATATATTTTAAAGTCCACATCTATTTTTATATTCTCATACAAACTAGGCATATGGGAGTAAGCCAATTTTCAATTATAAACCCATCATTAAGAAGAGACATCATGTAAAGGACCATTTGCTTAAACAAGCGTCTACAACTAATTTGCACAAGAAAAGGTCACCGTGAATGGATTAAGATTATCTCCACTGAGAGTAAAATAAAAACCCTTGCTGCATTAATTAAACTGCAAAATAGACTTCAAAAAAGATTTTTAAGAGGGTGTAAATTTAGCTTAAAAAAATATACTAAATTGTGATGGCAGTGGTTTCTCTTTTCCTCACCAAACATAGAATAATACTTGACAAATATCCTCAAGTTCAGCTGTTGATAATGTCTAAATTTCTACCTAATTGACGGACGAGAGGAAAACACACACACACACACACATACAAATATATGTATGAAGTTTAAAAGGAATTTTTTTAAATATAGAAAGTTCGAATATACTTCGGACTATAGCAAGGTTTAATAACGCCCAAAATAGAAACCCCTAAGGGACCAGCACGGAAAGTTCTACATCCGCATCATTAGGCTGCTAAAAATGTAAAACCCTATTAACGTTCTGGATTGTAACAAGTTTCAAAGTTGCCAGTTGCAGAATTTACTTTAGGGAAGGGGTGGGAGGGAGAGAAGGGGTAGAAAAATTATATGAAAAATTCAAATGATAGTTACACCAGGGGGTTGATATTTAAATGGCTGTACAGAAAGATTGGAGTCCCAGTGGCGTAGTGGTTAAGAGCTATAGCTGCTAACCAAAGAGTGGCAGCTCGAATCCACCAGCCACTTTCTGGAAACCCTATGAAGCAGTTCTTCTCTGTCCTATACGGTTGCTATGAGTCGGAATCGACTCAGTGCAAAAGGTTTTTTGTTTTTGTTTTGGTTTATACAAGGATTATCTGCTGATATAGTGAATAAAGCTTACATGACCGAAGCCTGTGTTCATCCACATAATAGGTAACACGAGATATGGAATGAGCACCTTTGCAAGAGTCAGGAACCCACTGGGAGACTATAGACAAACACATGACCTCCCTAAGCCTCAGTTTCCTAGTCTGCAACATGAGCTGGCTGGGCTAGATGACTTAAGATTCCATTTTAACATGCCATTACTCTTCTATGTTATCATATTTAGGTAAGAAAGAAAAACAGCCGTTGAGAATATTTCACAGCTCCAAAGTTTTCCATAACCATTCTGTTTATGTGTGCATATATAGATATCTGCTCATGTGTACTCAATGCATGTCTAACATATGTACATATGTAATATAAGCACACATAGACACCTACAGAGCATATACATTTATAATGTAGAACAATGATTTTCATTCGTATTTCTAACCATGCCCAGCCCATAAACCAGCCTTTCTTCTTTCCTCTGTGGATAGTGAGCCTACGAATTACCAGTGCATTATGAATGAAGGGGTAATGATGTCACACAAGTGGGACAAACAAATGGTTCCAGTTGGGCCCATATAGGTGTTTGATACTCTCCCACCCAGCGCTCCTGTGGATCCTACTCTCCATTTTGATGTTCCTGCACACCTCACATCTACCTCCTTCTCGATGCTTAAACCCCAGTCCTTTAGATGTTGTGGTACAAGCAGACAAGATCCTTGTCTGATTGCTAGACAAACAGAAGAAAAAAATCACCTAATAGCTAAAAAGGCTGAAGAGAACTTAAGGTGTAATATCTACTGGGAGTATTATTTTCATTTTAGGGAATCCCTGGGTGTTGAAACCCAGGTGGTGGCACAACAGTTAAGTGCTTGGTTGCTAACTGAAAGGTTGACAGTTTGAACCCAGCCAGTGGCTCCTCGGGAGAAAAGACCTGGTGATCTGCTCCAATAAAGATCACCCAAACCAAACCCACTGCCATCGAGTCTGACTTATAGAGACCCCATAATTGTTCCCAAGGCTATAAATCTCTATGGAAGCAAGCTGCTTTTTCTCCCACAGAGCCGCTGGTGGTTTTGAATCGCTGACTTTTCAGTTAGCAGTCAATCGCTTTAACCACTGCACCACCAGGGCTCCTTCCATGAAGATTAGAGCCTTGAAAATCCCATGGGGTAGTTCTAGTCTATCCTAGAGTGTCATTATGAGTCAGAATCAACTCCATGGCACCTAACAACAACAACTGGGTTGTGCAAATGGTTAATGCTCTCACCCTCAGCTGTTAACCGACAGGTTGGAGGTTTGAGTGCACCCAGAAGTGCCTCGGAAGAAATGCCTGGAGATCTACCTCCAAAAACTCAGCTATTGAAAACATTGTGGAAGCACAGTTCTACTTTGACACTCATAGAGTCTTACACACAGTGAGTCTACAGCAACTGGTAATTTACATTTCAAAAGCAGACTAGGGGAAGTGGGCCTTCAGGAATAACATCGTAATTCTACGGATACTCTCCCAAACAAAACAACATTTTAAGTGGTAAAAATTATTTTAAAAACCAGTCATTCAAAGTCTCTGGAAATTGTCCCAAGAGCACAAAAGCAAACGGAGAAACATTAATTCAAGAAATCTACTAAATCGCAGCAAGAATAATGCTAGTGTGTGGCATTTGAGCCATGACCTGCTCCCCTGCCCACCCCTACCAGCTCCATGCTATGCAAGTTCTGACCTGAACCAGTGCAACCAAGGAGACGGGGCTCCCTCTCCCCTAGCTACCATCAAGAAATGGAAAAGACAAGATACAGAATAGGAGAAAAATACTTGCAAACTATATATCTGATAAGGGACTTGTATCCAGAATATATAAAGAACTCTTAGAACTCAACAATAAAAAGACTAATCACCCAATTTAAAAATGAGTAAAGGAATTGAATAGACATTACCCCAAAGAAGATATATGAATGGCCAATAAACACATGAAAAGAAGCTCAGCGTCATTAATCATTAGGGAAATGCAAATCTAAACCACAGTGAGATACTACTTTGTACACATTAGGATGCCTACAATCAAAATAGATGAAAAATAACAAGTGTTGGTGAGGATGCAGAGAAATTGGAACCTTCACACATTGGTAGTAAAAATATAAAAGGATACAGTCATTTTGGAAAATAGTTTGGCAGTTCCTTTTAAATCTAAAAGTGGACTGACCATTCAACCCAAAAACTATACTCTTGGGCATTTATCCCTGGGATTGAAAACTTACTATCATGCAGAAATCTGTCAATGAATATAAACAGCAGCTTTATTCATAATAGCCCCAAACTGGAAACTTCTCAAATGTCCTTCAATGAGTAAACGCTTAAACTGTGGTACATCCTATCATGGACTGAATTGTGGCCCTGAAAAATATGTGTCAACTTGGTTAAGCCATGATTCCCAGTATTATGTGGTTGTCCTCCATTTTGTGATTGATGTACTTTTCCTATGTGTTGTAAATCCTAATATCTGCCTATAGTTAACGAGACAAGATTAGATTATGTTAAAGAGGATTAGGGTGGGATGTAACATCCTTATTCAAGTCACATCCCTGATCCAATGTAAAGGGAGCTTCCCTGGGCTGTGGTCTGCACCACCTTTTATCTTACAAGAGACGAAAGGCAAGTGGACAGAGAGTGGGGGACCTCATACCCCCAAGAAAGCAGCGCCAGGAGTAGAGCATGTCCTTTGGACCCGGGGTTCCAGCACTGAGAAGCTCCTAGACCAGGTGAAGAGTGATGACAAGGACCTTCTTCCAGAGCCAACAGAGACAGAACACCTTCCCCTGGAGCTGATGCCCTGAATTAGGACTCCTAGCCTCCTAGACTGTGAGAGAATAAACTTCTTTTTGTTGAAGCCATCCACTTGTGGTATTTCTGTTATAGCAGCATTAGATAACTAAGACACATCCATACCCTAGAATACTTCTCAATTATAAAATGGAGCTAACTATTGATACACACAACAACATGGATGAAGCTCATGGAAATTTTGCGGAGTGAAAAAACCAATCTCCAAAGGGTACATACTGTATTATTCCATTTACACAATATTCAGGAAATAACATAATTTTAGCCATGGAGAACAGATTAGCGGTTGCCAGGAGTTAAGGATGGTTAAGAAAGATAAGGAGACTTGGCAGGTCAAATGGGGGACAATCTTTTAAGCGGATTAATCTTTTAAAGGAGCCCTACTGGTGTAAATGGGTAAGCGCTTGGCTGTTAACCAAAAGGTCAACAGTTCGAACCCACCCAGCGGCTCCAAGGGAGAAAAGATTTAGCGATCTGCTCCCTTAAAAATTACAGCCTAGGACACCCTGTGAGGCAGTTCTACTCTGTCATATAGGGTCTCTATGAGTCGGAATCAACTCAGGGACACACAACAACAATCCTTCCCCATTATTTAAGTTTAGAAATGTAAACCACTTAAAATCATAAATTACTTACAAAAAAAGATAATTAACTTAAAACACGTTATCCTTAGCAAGAAGGTAAGCAGATGAAGGAGACGACTGACCTCAGAGAAATTTCAGCTTTAATTAATAGGTGGTTTTGTTATCCTTTTCAGATGGGTCTTACGTTCCCCGATTGTATAAGTGATGATAAGGAAGTTGGAATTGTTTTCACAAATGACTGCAAAGAAAATGCAATAAAAATGGCACAGCCCTGAATTTAACCTAGAAACCAGTACCACTCTATGACCATAATAATTTTCTTTTTAAAGCTGTATTGAATAATGTACGGGATACACCCCATTTAAAATGGGCTACATAATGATGCGTAATTGAAGTCCTTCCCCTCCATATGCAGCACGTCTGTGCTGGTAGCAACTGGGCAGAGGGGACAGCATGGCATAGTGCAGAGGTTCCCGAAGTGTGGTCATCCAACCAGTAGCACCTGCATCACTTGGGAACTTGGCAGAAATGCAAATTCTCAGCCTCACCCAGGCCTGATGAAATAGAATTCTGTTTTAACAAGCCCTCCAGGTAACTGTGATGCATCCTAAATTCTGAGAAGCACTGGCATGGTAGTTAAGAGCTTAGTAATTACAAGCTTAGTGGTTAAGCGGCTTTAGACTCAGTCAAACCTGGGTTCGAACGCCAGCCTTGCCATTTACAAGCTGAGTGCTCTTGGAAAAGCTATTTAATCTGTCTAAATCTGTTTCCTCGTTGGCAAAATGAAGATAATACCTATATTGTGAGGATTAAATGATCAAATTTAACTAAAGCAGTGGCACATTATAAGCAATCCATAAATGGTAGCTATTATCATTGGGGCCAAAGGGAGGCCCCAGAATATAATTGAAAACAGAGCAGACTTGAAGTTAGAAAACTTCAAGATTTCCTGAAGTTAGAAATTAGGGTTCTGGATCTACCACGTCCTGTGTGATGCAAAGCATTTAACTCCTCTGAGTCTCAAAGTTTTGAAGATCACATGAAATCACGTACATGAACTATAACCTGTAAAACACTATGCAACTGCAAGCTATTATGGTAAATTATATCAGTTGAGAGGAATCAAAACATATTCAAAAAAAAAAAAAAAAAAAAAAACTAGTAACAATGAACGGGGGGTGGGGGGGGAAGATTCCAAAAGACAGAGCCAAGAGAGAAATGTGGAGTAGACCCTTTAAAGTAAAATGAAAACAGAAGCAGTGAATCACAATGAAACAGCAGCTTCTAATTGAAAGGATTTTGCCTTATTCTCCAAAGCTACACAGACAAAGATGTTACCCATGCAGTGTGTGCAAAGATCCTCCTGTGGGTTCCACAATCCCTCAGTAACATGTACATTTGCCATGTGAGCCTGCTTTTTGCTAATCAAAGAGGATAGGGAAAAAGCAAGTAATCCAGTCTCTCATCTCTGTAGTCACACAATTCTAGTCTCCCCAGGATGTTGCTACAGTTTGTCTCAAGTATTTATTTATAAAGTCACTTATCATCTATAGCCGACCTGTTCCCTACAGCCCCTTCTCATCAGTAATTAATCTTCTTTGCTTACTCTCAGGTTTAAATCACATCCTATAAAGAAAAAAAACAAAAACAATTTATGACTATTATAGTTCAGTAAAGTGCACTGGGATGAGGGAAATAAAATTAACATTCTTTGAGCATCTCCTGTGGGCTTTTTTTCATTCATTCAACAAACGTTTCTTGAATGTCTACCACGTGTCAGGCACTATTCAAGGAGCTTGCTGTCCAGTGAAAAGACAGATGTGTTATCCAATGATGGCTATTCAATGTAGGAAGTGCTAGGATGGAGGCATACAGTGGGGATGGGGTTATGCAAAGAAGAAAAACAGCTGCTGCAATTGATGGGAAGGGTGAGAAGCAGGGGTGCTTGCTGGAGGAAGTAAGACTGAGTCGAGAATTCAGGGACAAGCAAGAAGAATCAGCCTGGCAAAGGGGTAAGAACAGGTGATGGGCATTTCTGGGGGTAGAGATAGCATAGGAGGAACAAAGGCACCAAGAGGAGAGAAGCCATATGCAATTTGGGGTGGCTGAGTGCAAAGCGTGGGGGCATGGGAGGGGATGAAAGACTGCTGGTACAGACAGGGTCACACTAGAAAGACTTTGTATGACATCTCCTGGGGCTCAAACATGCTCCTGTGAGGGTGATTGTGAATCACCGAAGGGCTTAGGCAGAAGAATGACATGTTACTAATGGAACCCTCTGGATTTTATATAAGCCAACATCATAGGCAAGCAGCTAAGTTCAGAGAGCTGAAAAAACCTTGCCAAGGTAGGTCACAGCTAGGACCAGTGGCATTAGTGTTCCAACTCTGGGCTTGCTAAGTCTAAAGGTCATTTTCTTTCCACATCACGCTGCCTCCTCTGTCAGCCCACACAACGTGCAGTGTCTTATGAACCAAAGTCCTAGTTTCAAGCATTGGCAACAGATGGCTACCATTTAAGTGGCCCTTTCTCTCTTACTCAAAGCTCTACCCCATGTCACCACCAGGAGTTCAGTCCAGACTGAGCTTTGTTATTTACTAAGCTTGTTGACTTAGACCCTTGGCCTTTACAGATTTAACACTCAGCATTTCAATTATTTTCAAGAGAATTCTAAAGTGCATGGCATGTAATAATATGAAACTTGCTTGAGGCATAGATTTGAATTAAGAAACATGAGTGGGAGCTGATTTTTCAGCTGGAAAGCGGGTCCAGCTGGCCACTGTACTAGCTCTACTTGTTGTCCTGTAAACATAAACAGTGGAAGGTAGTGGTGGCTCAGTGGCAGAATTCTCGCCTTCCATGTGAGAGAACTGAGTTCAATTCCCAGCCAATGCACCTCATGCACAGCCACCATCCAACAGTAGAGGCTTGCGTGTTGCTATGATGAGGAATAGATTTCAGTGGCACTTCCAGACTAAGACAAACTAGGAAGAAAGGCCCGGGAATCTACTTCTGAAAAGCAGACAATGCAAATCCTATGGATCACAATGGTCTGATCTGCAAACGATCAGGGGGATGGTGCAGGACCGGGAAGCATTTCATTCCACTGGGCATGGGGTCACCATGATTTGGGTATCAACTCAATGGCAGCTAACAACAACAAATACACAGTGGTCTTAAAGAATTCATTAGATTCCACTGAGCATCAGTTTCTTCACAAAACCTACTCACACAGTCTTCGTGCAGCATAAATGTGCTACTCTATGTGCCTGTGTTGGGTAAATGGAAATTTTAACACGTGTGGTGTTGGGTGCTGACCATGGCTGACCAGAACAGCTGCAGCCTCAGGGACACTTGGGCCACCCATAGGGAAGACACTCACTATTTGGAGATGGTACGATTCCTCACACAGGCAATTCTGTGCCTTGAGCACTGCCTGCTGCTAGAACCACCAGGGCACCCAGTCATGCCAAGGACTGAGAATTCATTTCTTTGTGAAATTCCTCAGTGTGGGCTGCCAAGCCCAAGCTGTCCACCGCAGAGAGTAATCCTCAGCTGAAATCGCAGACAGGTAGTTAGATTCACCCTTTCATCCGTCTTGGCTTTCCACAGAAGATAGTCTCCTTTTCTTTTTTTTTTGTCCGTTTAAAATCCATTCCAATACAAGGAGGGAAGAAGGGAGGTCAAATTTCATGGGCTCTCACTGGCCTGAGGCACCTGGGTGAGGCACTTACTCTCACAGGCATTATTACCTCCTTTAAGCCTCACATCCACACTGTGTGGGGGATATTGTCATACCTGTTTTCCACAGGGAGGAAGAGGCAGCTGGATAAAGTCAGCAGGATCCTGAGAATCAAACATCCTGTCTGAACGCACTGGGTCATACCCCATATCATTTTTACACTCTCCCCTCCCCCGCCACATTACCCCACACCTGCCCTAGGTAGGCCTGTTGTTGCTGTTAGGTGCTGTTGACTTGATTTCAACTCATAGCGACCCTATATGACAAAGTAGAACTGCCTCATAGGGGTTTCTAGGCTGTAATCTTTATGGAAGCAGAACACCAGGTATTTCTCCCACAGAGCTGCTGGCCAAATCGCCAACCTTTCGGTTATCAGTTAACCGTTGCACCACCAGGCTCCTGAGGTAGGCCCCGTAGCATCAGTGTTCCAACTCTGGGTTTGCTGACTCTGAAGGCCATTTTCTTTCAACTCCATTATGCTGCCTTCTCGGCCAGCTCACACAACATGCCATGTCTGAAGACAACCTTTCTCACAAAGCGAAGTGCTAAGCAATTTACCTAGTTGCCAACAGTTCTGACAGACCAGAAATTTATACTTGGACAAGGTGGTAACTGCTATCTGCATATGTTAATGAACACAACATGCATCAGGTGCATCCGGGACTTGCAAAGACATAGAAGACTATTTCGGGCCTGCTTGTTATAGCAACTCCACCAGCTAATATACAAAGGCGAGTAAAAAAAAAAAAATACGACAGCCACTGATAACAATTATAATAATGATAATACCCCCACTTGTTAAATGTTTCTTATGGGCTGGCCTGGATGCTGTGCTGCTACACATTCTATAGTCATTACCACACCTTATCTTAGCCACCATGTGAAACAGTAGGGTGTTACTGGCCCCACTTTACAGACGATCAAGCAGAGTATCAAAGTTTGGTGGGGCTTGTGCAAGGAGTGCAAGATCCACGATGAACTCCACTGTTTCCCAGAGCTTCCTGGAAGGCAGGAATACCACAGGGCCAGGATTGTACCAGCCCTAGGTGATGTAATCTTGGGAAGCTTCCTGGTGGAGGCGAGGTTTTAGAGCGCCAGCTTTTATACTACATGATACTGAATTTTGAACTGTTCAGAGATAAACGCAATTCCAGGGTGTGTGGGTCTAAATTCTCCTGTTAAAATAAAACCTTTCTGGAGCCCTGGTGGTGCAAACGGTTAAGTACTTGGCTGCTAACCAAAAGGTTGGCAGTTTGATCCCACCCAGTGGCTCCACAGGAAGAAGACCTGCGATCTGCTTCAATAAAGATTACAGCCAAGAAAACCCTATAGGGAAGTTCTACTCTGTCATATGGGGTCACCATGAGTCCAAATCGACTTGACGGGACCTAACAACAACAATGATCAGGCATAATCTAAAATCAAGTTAACTTCTTTGACAATGAAATAAGAAATTAAGCTGATACCAAGTTTACGGTTAATAAAACATTTCTGAAAATGCTTAATACAGGGCTACCTATGTAGGGGGGAGCAAGAAGGCATTAAACAACAAAAGAGTCAGCGGCAACAATTACGTGGGATGGAAAACTGGTCCAGAAGAGGGCCACAAGGAACCTCGCACAGCAGCAGCTAAGTGTACGTCAGGCCCGACTGCAACTGGGAAGCCTGCGGTCATTATCTTACCATTAACCTTTCACCAGGCTCCACTCCATGAAAACCGGCCAAGTGGAGCGGGGCCAGGAAGCGTGGAGCGAAGCCCGAGAAGACCAGAACAGGGGCCAGCTGCTCGCAGCCTCTATCCTCGGGAGGCAGCTCACCCCAGGGGCAGGCCAAGGACCACTTCCCCCCCAGCACACCCCTTGCTGGGGTTTGAATGGTGTCCCTAACGAAGACATGATGAAGTCCTAACCCCCAGTACCTGTGAACGTGATATTGTTTGAAAATAGGGTCTTCGAAGATGTCATCGGTTAACATGAGGTCATACCAGAGTGGGAGGGGCCGAAACCCATCTAAGTGTTGTCGTTATAAAAGAGAAGGAGAGACGTGAGGGAGAGACGGCCATGGGCAGATGCACCTGCAAGCCAAGGAACATGGAAAAATGCTGGGGCTGCCAGACATTGGAAGAGACAAGGAAAAATCAGGGCAGACAGAGAGAGTACGGCCCTGCCAACACTCTGAATTTGGACACCTAGCCTCCAGAACTGTGAGAAATTAAATTTCTGGACTTCAAAGATACCCACTTCATGGTACTTTGTTATGGCGGCCCTCAGAAACTAATACACACCATCTTTTTTCCTCTGTTGTCCCTAGGTGGTGCAAATGGTTAATGGGCTCTCCCACTAACCGGAAGGCTGGAGCTTCAAGTCCACCCAGCAGTGCCTTGGAAGAAAGGCCTGGCTATATACTGATAAATCAGTCACTGAAAACCCTACGGGGGTACAGCACTATTCTGATACACAGGAAGTCGCCATGAGCCAGAGTGGACTGGATGCAACTTTGTTTTTCCTCCTTCCTCTGCTTACATCCCACTCCTACTTCAGGTCCTGCTCCAGGGTGCCGCTTCCTGGAGGAAGACTTCTCCAATCCCCCAAGTCTAGGTTTAGACACCCTCCTATTTCTCCCACAGTACCCCATGTGACCTTTCGATTTCTCTCTCTGTATTAAATTGCTCGTTTTTCTTGTATTTCTTCCACTAGACTCTAGGAGGCAGGAACCTGGCCAGACTTTCTGTTGCCCCAGCACCTAACTCAAGGCCAGGTCTACAGCAGGCACTTAATAAATGTTTGGTAAATGGATAAAAAGTGCTCAGTATCCACAGGTTTGCATTTAGGTGTACAAGGGCTGTGGAAGCAAGAGGGAGACAACAATGAGATAGGAGAGGAGCCTTTCATTGCCATTATCTCTATTTTTGCTAATAACAACATACCCACTTGATAATGCGCACTTTTCTGATTTTCACTCTTATGCTTAGGACAAGCACAACTTGTTTAGGGAATGGAAGGTAGTGTCTTTCATTTATTTACTGATTTTGTCTTTCTCTTGTATATGTTCTCTCTCCTCCTCTCTGTCTTTACTTCTAAAGGCCTTGCAGCTTGTTAAAAATTTCGTCTTCTTTCTGCACACAGATGAGGATGGGAAATTTGTGTTTTACCAGCTCTGATAAATAGCATGATTTGCAACTCAAGTCGGACACATGCAGAGCACTATTCAAACTGAACCTTCTTCCCCACCTGAGCTTAAGAAAAAATTTGCAGAGCCTCGCCATGGCTTCAGCAAGTATCTTACTCTTCTAGTGCTGCTATAACAGAAATACCACACGTGGATGGCTTTAACAAAGAGAAATTTATTTCTTCACAGTAAAGTAGGCTAAAAGTCCAAATTCAGGGCAACAGCTCCAGGTGAAGGCTTTCTCTATCAGCCTTCTCATCAATGTTCCCCCGGACTAGGAGCTTCTCCTTGCAGGGACCCCAGGTCCAAAGGACACGCTCCACTCCTGGCACTGCCTTCTTGGTGGTATGAGGTCCCCCTGTCTCTCGGCTCACTTCTCTCTTTTATATTTCAAGAGAGTGCCTCAGGACACAATCAAATCTTGTAGATTGAGTCCTGCCTTACTAACAGAACTGCCACCCATCCTCCCTCATTAACATCATAGAGGCAGGATTTACAACATACAGGAAAATCACACAATACCAGGAATCATGGCCCAGCCAAATTGATACACACATTTTTCGGAGGGACATAATTCAATCCATGACAGCAAGTATAAACATACAACATTTGCCCAAAAGACAATGACTCCCTACCTACAAAAGAAAACCAGGCTCAACCAAACGTTCTGACCACTTCCCTTCTTGATGCAAGGTATTCTTTCCTACTTGGCCAGCCTTGGTCAGCCCTTGGATTAGATAGATGTTTGGAACTCCTGCTGGGCTGTTCATCACCAGAGTAGACACTATTCAGGGGCTGTCAGGTGGTGAATCTGACGTGCCCCGAATTCTTTGTCAGCGCCTAAGCCTTTCATCTGGTCCTTGTGCTTAAGTGATTATAAAATACATTGAGAATCTAATTCCAGTTAATGAAATGACGGCTGGTTCTGCTAACCTTCCCTGCCCATCCCCTCCCCCACTTGTGCCATCACTGAGTTCTACCTTCTGACTCCTGATAGTCAGGGCCAGCTCGCTCCTGGACCTTTTGTACTCAACAAGCAAATGAGATCTCAGAACTCTGTGTAGGCTAAGATGGTGCATCTTCAATAAATTATAGGACATCAACATGATATGAAACTGGCATGAAGCTACTTGGCTATGGAAAGTTTTCTCTTTCACATCTGGGTGTGTAAAAGTACAGGTGCAGCCACTGGACACAAAAAAGTGGGTTATGGCTAAAGATCTGATGCCATATACTGTTATTTACCCAATCACCCTTCTGTGAGCTGTTGAGGACTGGGAAGGCCTATTAGCCTAGATTTGGCCATCTCCTTTGGTAGAAGCACAGTAGTGACCTGGGGGAAAAATCTGTGGTGCTCTGAGTTACGTCTTCCTCCTCCAGCTGGCTCTGCTCAGAACAGGTCCCCTTGAGAAGCAGCTATTTCCCAGGGGCCTCATTCTGGGAAGAGGCTGTGGAACAGAGAGAAAATTTCAACATCTAATGGGCAAAAGATGGACCAGGGGGCCCTTAAGAAGCCATTATGCTCCGATATTTGCTCGCTGGACAGACAAATACTGAGCAACTCCTACGTGCCAAAGATACAAAAGACCTCCAGGATCTCCATGGAAGCCAGAGTTTCCTCATGCCCCCCTTTGCTACATTTCCTTGATTCTACTCCTCCTTCAGGTCTCAGCATGAGCATGAGCA